TGTACTTCCGAGCTTTGAATTTCTAGAGATGGGCTGGGATGAAGGGGCAGGCAGGCTCTTACTGAAGGGGGGGTAACACCCGAGGAAGACTCACAGCACTCAGTTAAGAATTGAGACTTGCACTTAGCTGGTAGCCTTGAGACTTCATTCCTGGACACAGTCGCAGGATACTTTGTAACCCCTTTAGTTCAATTTAGGTTCACAGCTATAAGGACTTCTAGCGAACCCATGTGTTAACAGACTATGTAATTGTGATAGGTAGGTTTATTGTGCCAACCTGGCAATGAACACGTGGGATTAATTCAAGGGCAAAGAGATAAATGACTGGGGGCCTTGCCTTTCTTGTCTCTTGCTCTTTGAGGATCGGACCAGTGTGCGGCTGCCCTGGCTGGTTCTCTGCCACAGCTTATTACACTAGCTGTGGGACACTCAACCCGTGGACTGTGTTGCTGTAGTTTGAGGTTCCTTCAAGACCTGCTTCGCCATCCTACTGGAGTATACATTGCTTGAACTGGGGACTGTCAGATCCTGTCATCTGGCTGATTGTTGGTGACCTACCTTGCCGTTTGCTGCCTGTGGATGGATTGCCTGAATTGAGGACTCAGCTGTCTGCTTCCTTGACTTGCACCCGGCGGCCCTCATGATTTGAAGGACTGCCAGTGTATTAGCTGTTTCACGGAAGTGAGTTGCGCTGAGCTCTTTGTACTGCTCTATAGACTAATTAGCTGTTCATTTTTATTATCTATCTATCTACATACCTACCTACCTATCTAATCATGAGAGTCCTGGGTCTTGCTTCTCTAGAGAACCCTAACACAATAATCCTTCTAATGAAGAGCCTTCTGAATTGTGTTATATTTACACCATACAATAGCAGGACTCCTTAAGTCCCCGCTATCATTCACACCTGGCTACACTGGATTGTCCTGAAAATGGAAATTTTTGACGTAATGATTATGTTGGTTAATAATTTGTGTCAACTTGGCTAGGCCACGGTTCTCAGCAGTTTGGCAAACATTTTGTGACTGGAAATGACAGGAGCAAGGATGTGGCCTGCATCCCAAATACACGGATGTTGGTCTAGGGGAAAAAGACTGCCCATGGGACCGTCTTCTGTCAGGACCCCCTTATTAAGCCGTAAACAGGACAAAGACCAGGCAAAGGCAATCACCTGGATGAGAGAAACCATCAGCCTGATGCCAAGATGGAATTCAATTAATTCATGGCCATGGGCTAACTTAGAGGAATGAAAATAATGCAAACCATGGCTGGGACTGATCTGTCCATCACTGCCAGTGGTGGGACTACAGAACCCGGAAAAGGATGAGGATTGGGACATAACGTACAGCATAGATTTTAAAAGCCTACAGTCTTGGAGCTGGGGCTCAACCCTTGGCTACATGGCGGTTGGGTATGTCTCATGACCATGAAGCCCTGAGTTGCAGCCACCAGGACCCCAACTCTTGGATAGCATGCTGCTGTTTTCAGTCAATCATGAAATACACACCCACGCAAGCCTCCTGATTCTATGGACAAGCCTGAAGGGAATAAGTGGCTTACCGGGAGTTGCAATCTAATTTCAAACACACTTTGCATGAGGGCAAAACTACCACGTAGATGGTTAATGGTCAGACCGCAAATGAAGTCTGAATTTATGGCAAGACTCAAAATGGAGTTATCTTCACAAATCAAGGGCTTTATAATTTTGTGTGAGAACTGATTTTTTTTTAAATTAAAAAAATCATTTTATTGGAGGTTCTTACAGCTTTTTTTGACTTTTTTAAAAAACATTTTATTAGGGGCTCATACAACTCTTATCACAATCCATACACACATCAATTGTGTAAAGCACATTTGTACTTCATTCTCAAAACATTTTCTCT